GCCGGCTTTGTAGCTCACCATGTCATTTTAAAAAAAAATCACGTTCCACCGTGGCTGTTGGGCTTTGATAGAACCATCCAACCGGACAAATACCGCTTTCATAAAATTGTGCAAATGATTTCTTTCAACTGGGATTGTGGAGGTATTGTGCCCCGCTCCGCCACCCCACACCCTGCCTATCCTCTCTCCTCGTGGCACAAAGAGCTAATCTGAGACGAACACTCGCACCAGCTCTGACACACTGTCATCGGAAAACAGCCGTGATTATATATTCTTTAAATCATGTAAGTGAAGCATGAGGTAAAAAGCCATCATCCAATGGAGGACAATAGCGGAGTTACAGCAATAACTGCGTAGTTTCTCCCGAACATCCAGCACTGGGATTAAATACTGGGTCCCTATTTACTCATCTTTACCTACGGCCTTTCTTTCACAATTACAATATCTTAGAGACGCCAGAAAGATCCTAAAACATTTTGATTTTGCCCATTTGCAGATGGAATCAGTCTGCAATGGGTGCCGGTGGCAGGGATATTCGTCATCTCAAGCTGCCCAGGGGCCAAACATCCCATCCTGCAAGGCCCCATTCCCTTATCTGATTCCAGCAGACTGGTCGAGATGATGGCCATGCCAGCCAGAGCCTTTGATTTCTTTTTTTTTTAATAACATCCCTCTGCTTTCACACTGCTTTATTGATCACCAACAGACCTCATTTTGTTCCTGTGCTTGGAGAAGGCTCTATTTGTAATGTGATCGCCCAGATGAAAGTAGTAGAACGGTGGACAGATACTAATCCTCTTTTCCTCCCAGTCTCCAGCATCATCTTTAGTGATTTTTGCGGCTCGCCCCTGTCAAGACTCTCATTGCCTGAAGCCAAGAAGACACCACTCACACCGTTTTGTTTTTTCCCCTCCAAAAGAGAAGAGATTGGGGGTACAATTGACAACATTTGCTCAGCTATGTGTAAATGGGTTCAAATAAAATTAAACACGTACAACAAAAGCAGCCACCTCAGATTCTACAGCACTGATTTTCACTTCACAATCAAGAAACAGACTCAGACTTGACACATTCCTCCATATTGAACATCATAACGCAACAGCACAGAGTAGGGAGCGTCTGCCTTGTCACTTCACCCAGACGGTAGCTGGAAGTATGTAAATTGGTTCGTTAACCTTACAGTGTTGTAACCAGTGGGCCATGCAAAGGGCTTGCTCCATGCTGGTTTTCTTGTATTTTATTAACGCCCATTAATAATAACAGGAAACTTTCGCTAATGGCCCGAGGTGGTTGCTGCGGTGTTATCAAACACCGCAGTAATTATACATGACATCCCTCTGATTAACACTCTTGTGATTATTACATCACGTCGAATCATCTTGGCTCCCGTTTTCTTAGTTATAACACATTTTACAAGAGGAGAAAGAAAGATGGGCTCTAGCTACCCCCCTCCCATCCTGGTTGTAACTTTAACCCCTGACAATAGAATGGCATGAAGAAAAAGAAGCTTGGGGGGGTGGAAAGGTGAAAAGGGATCCACATTTTCATATGGCTTCTCCCCCAGTGCTTGCAGAGTGTGTGAAAAATTAGTTTGCAGTGTGTGCATGAGCTGCCAGCAGTGAGGGCTTGCACCTGGTGCAGGCGGGAGTATGCGAGGGGCCAAGGGTCACCTCACGGGTTAAACAGGATTGAAGTTCTCCTCTTCCCAAGAAGGGCCAGACGACCCCTGCGGCTGCATCGCATAACACGGGCCTTTCACACCGCTTCCTTCCCTTTTCTTTCTCCCCCCTTCCCCTCCTGGTCGCCTCCCTTTTTCTGCTGTAGAAAAGCACAGTAATCCATAACCCACTCAACTATCAGCAGCTCAATTATCCCTCCCGTTCACCCATTTTCTCCCCTCAGATGGAGATTCGAAAACAATTAACCTCTTCGCAGCTCGGGACTTTTCCCAGGAAAGGGGACGCCGGTAATTGAATGACTCCGCCATTTTTGACTGTGACTTCACTCCTTCACACATAAAGGTGGTTACCGAAAACTCTGTGGCTTTGTGGTTCTCCGGCGTCATTGTCAGGTAAGGTGCTCAAGCAGGATTTAACTAAATCATTTGATAATGTTTACATAATACTCCTTTCACCTACTTGGAGCTTAATAGATTTCCATCAGTCGTGATCATCATGTTGATATGTCGAGGAAATTGTACCCCCGTGAAGAATCTTAAATAATAATTATTCATAAGTCAATAAATCATTGTTTGGTGGGCAGTACAACTGTGAAACCTGACACAAATACACCATCTACAAGCAATAGTGCATCCTCCTGCATCCAGAGCCTTCAATAAAATGTTCTCTTCTCCCCCTTCATTACAAAGGGCCTCCTATTCATCTCCAGGTAGACAGCTTCAAAACGAGGGCGGGAAGAACAGCCTGTTGCACCCATTGAGCTTTTTATTACTTCCCTCTTCAAAAAGGCTGGTGGCGAAAGAAGAGGCAACCTCAATCTTCTTGATTCCACAATACACAGTCGGCTTTCAGAAAACACACACACAGACAAGTAGCAGGATTTCAGCTGAAAACTGTGTGTACATTTTACAGGCACTTGCTCCTCAAAATGTCACATTTGGGGAGATTACATTGCTGTTAGAGCCAGTCCAGCTGCTAAAAAGGATAATGTTCTCACAAACAACTTCATCAAAAATGGGAAAAACAACTCAAAAGTGCCGCATTCAACCACAATCTCCACTGATGCCCAACAAAGACTTCAACCAGCCATTTTCCATAAAGCGAGCTAGCTCATTATCCAGCTATAAACCGCGCCATATAATCCCTAACCACCGCACATCGACAAAACAAAGACGTGCAAAAGGAAGACACTTCCATAAATGACTGTGTCAAAGATATAGAGATATTGAAATATCTTCCACCAACTTCTAATTGGAGTTATGCATTTCATGTTGCTAGACTTCAGATGCTACCTCGTCATAACCTCGGTGACTAGACAACCGAGTCAACAGAACTGAAACCATGAACAACGTCTCGCAGCCTCGTCTGAAGCCCTTGAGATGGTAAAAATAGAATAATCATGCAGAAATTATATGTTATGTTTGTTGTTTTAACATCAAAGGACCCAGTTCCTGTTCATTAATAATAAATGTTGCTTTGCATCAGAATTCCTCTGGGTGGTACAGAAAAACAGCGATCGAGCACGATCGATGTAATGAATTTTAAAAGAGCCAGGTGATATAACTTATTTGAACTTAAACTTCCGGATGTTCACCAATCAACATAGCCGAAATCTTGCTCCTTATATACATAGGTGCATAGCTAAAGACACACACACACACACACACACACACACACACACACACACACACACACACACACACATATATATAATAGAACACAGAAAAAGTCTTTGATGTCTCCTTAGCGCGGAGACTGCAACTCCGTTAGTCACCCACAGTCAATCCAATATCCATTTATGCTACACAGTGACAGCAGCAAAAAACCAACATAACTCCAGCCACACACACACACAGACACCAACGCAAACTCTCAAACATAGCGTGAGCTGATTGTGGATGAGGAGCAAGCAAAAGAAGCGCCAGCAGAAGAAGAAAAAAAAGGAGGAGGAGAAAAAGAAGAAAACCTAAACACCGCTGGCTGTGCTCCAGACAGACTGGAACTTCTCTTGATCATTATGTCTAGCCTTCAGGTGTCTGGGGTCGGACCAACTGTAGGCAATAGTTAGTTTGAGGTTGGTGGAGGGTGGAGGGTAGGGGATGGAGGGGGGGGGGGATAACACAGCAGCCAGACAAAGAGGGCTGCCTACATACCACCAGCATCAAGGAAGGGAGGGCGGGAGGCAAGGGAGGGAAGCAGGGAGAAGAAAAGAGGAGGGTTATAAAAATTTGATTAGACGATCCTTTGCTGAAGCGACTTTCTGTGTCGGTTTGCTTTTCTTTCTTTCTTTTTTTTTTTCTTCCTCTGCCAGTTCCCCTCCCTTCTGGTACTCCACAGCGCTACCTTAGAGAACGGGGCAGACAGATTTTTATAGGTCCTAATTAAAGCCATCTGAAACCTTTTGAAAACATCAAATGGCCCCGGTCCCCTACTCTCTCCCTCCCTTCCCCTGCCTTGGCGTAAAGCACAAAAAACAATCTGAAGGCACCTTTTTGGGTTTGTTTTTTTTTTTTGCTTTGACTCCTGCCTGTACATAAATGTTGCACCCCCACCTGACCCCAGCACCCCTAATTTCCAATCAATAAAAGGGTTCAATGAGTGATGTGACCTCAGAATGTGAAATTCAATTTGCTGGAATTTAAGTAGAAAAAGCCTCTTCAATAATTATTTACCTTTTTTTAAGTACTTTTTAAAATATTTTTTCTTTGTTTAATCACATTTGAACAGACAAAACACGTTACTGAAGATCCACCCTTATCCTGCCCCGCGGGCTGAAGTGAAGTGCAGCGCTGTTTCAGTGCGCTTCAAGTACTCCATTTATTTCTTCTGCTGCTCTCCCTCCCCTCTCTCACCCCCGATTGTCCTCATTGAGCCGTGCGGACCGGTTGCACAGTCTGTCTGCCTGCCTGCCCGGGGTCAGCGGGTTTACCCTGTGCTTTTTATCTATATTTCATGCTATGGCCCTGCGCTGAGACAGCCCCACATTCACAATGAGCAAATTCACAGACTGCGCAAAGAACGTCAAAAGAGGAGAAATATAAGCGAAGTCAAACACCATCCGAGCATCAGGTAAAGTCAAATAAGACTATGAAGTGGTTTAAAAAATATGTATTTAATTCTGCTTGGAAACCAAAAGAAAGGGACAGAAAGAAAACGGCGCAAAAGTGGCACATGCAATCGCAAATCCTAAAAACAACAAAAATTTAATCAAGAAAAAGCAAAGTCGGCTACAAACAGAAAATAAAATAGTTTCAGGATTGTTATCATCGTATTTTTTTAAAGCGAATAGAAGACGGGAAGTAAAATTTTGTCGATACTTACAATTCATTTCTATAACTTCTGGGCGTTATTGTCTTGCCCCTGTGACTCTGCGTTTTGGAGACGGCCAAGTGTGCTCCTCAGACAAAGCCAGGGGTCATTCTCGTCGACGGGATGTGACAGCGTCATCGGATGGCAGTGAAGTTTGCATAACACAACACCTGGTGCGTCCCGCCGAGGACGGCGAACGTCCGATTCCGCCGGTGTCAGGTCTTCAGTGATGCCTGCACTCGCTGGGATTGAGCGCTGAGAGGACAGGGAGCGCACAGAAAGGCGTCATGTGAGCCTGTGTTCGAGGCGCCCATTGGCCAGCCAGGGATAAGTATGATAAGGGGAGTGCGCGCGCCATTGGCCCAGGACGAGAGCGGAGGCGCCTCCTCGCTTGGCCGTGCGCAAGAATGTGAGTGCGGCTCAGTGTTCATAATTTTCAGCGGGAGGGGTTGGAAGACAGAGAGGGTGGGGGGGCGCATAAGTAACAAATTGTTCTTAAGATTTTTTGTCATAGAAGGGAGGGGAAACGCACACATTCTGTTTCGTCGTTATATAAAAGTGGAATGTATGAAAATGTGTGGCGAGCCTACACGTCAGCTTTCTTTCTTTTCTTTTCTTTTTTTTTTTTGAGCGGTCGTCAACTAGCACATTAACCGAGGGCGAAAATGTAACACGAAGTTGTCTTCATAGTGACGACAGGTAAGAAAGCAACATGACTGCCAAAGTCACCAACAGAGAGCTGTTTTCACTGGATCTGGATGTTTCCAGATATCACATCACTTATTTCTCATGATTTTATCACATTTTGATGTGATATCCATATAACCCCCACCAGATGCAAGAACAGCAGTGCAATACAGAATCAAATTTGTATCCCTGTAATCTGAATTAGTTGCATAAATTTGTGGATAATTTCCTGCATAACAAAGTGCTGCACATTCATGAGGAATTTCATTCATCATTACTTAACAAAGTCAATACTGTTCCGGCTGAAATGCCACAAATGTTCTGACGCAAATAATAAAAAGTGAAAAAAGAATAGGATCAAATAGAGTTCAGCAAGGCCCCACATTGATGTTCAACACCGCAGAAACCCCAAAATGAATCTTCACTCTCACTTTCCTAAAAAGTAAACTATTATTTAAGACACCTGGAGCTAATTGATGCAAAAAATGCTATAAGAGCACAAAGGTCCTCTATTACTTTCTCCTACGTGTATGGACACAAAGGCGGTGTGATATGTTTTACATATTTATGTTGTTCTGCCCCGTTCTTCATTTCTACATTGATTTTCTACACAGCTGGACTTCAAGGAGGGCAACGGGACATAAAAGAGCATCCTCTCAGCCTCCCTCTCTGGTTCTGTGGAGACAGAAGGAACTGGAGATTCTGTATGGGTGGGAAATAGAGCGCGTGTAATCTGGAGCACGCATCTTCCCCCTGCTCAGGCTGCGGCATTAAATCGATATTCCGCAAAGCTTTCTCTTGTTTTCACATTCACTTGACTGCAACCGTGATGCGCCGCGAGGGTCGAGCAGCCGCTCCCTGATTTTTGTGGCACTTGTGCCCCCCTTCGCCTGCCACCGCCCCCTTTTTTTTTTCTTCCTCTTCCACCTTCACTTCACTTCACTTCACTCCACAGCAGACACCCTCATTTGGATGGCTCCAAGGCGATGCACCCATTCCATTTGTCTCTTGTGTTAACAGGAGGCGGCAGAAATAAGGCAGTGCGCTATCTCTATACAGAGCATTATCTCCGGCTTGCTCCTCCAGCACCATGAAACAATGATTATTAACTGCTTGAGAAGCATGCTTAGGGATTTCAAGGCTTGTTGCCACACTTAGGGAACATGAAGTGTATTGCACAACGCACCCCATGCACAAGATTTTTTTATTTTTTTGCCTGAAAATAATACTTCCTCTTTTCTTGATATTTGTGAGTACTTTCAGAAGCTACTGGCTTGCCCGAAACCCCCGGCGGGAAGAGTAGTAAGTATGGCTAACGGCATTATGACCGGACGTGTGACAGGAGCATTTTCACAAGAAACCAGCCTAGCACTTCCTTTTCAAGATTTAAAAGCCTGTTGTGCAGCGTCATCCTGCTGTAAGATAGTGGTTATGCATTCATACACTCAAGTGTTCACACACACACACACACTCTCCATCGTTATAAAAGCAAAGCCCTGCCTCTGCAAAATGGGTCATACACTGCAGTCACTTTATCTCAGCAAATGTATTGTGCCTGCGTGAGTGTGTGAGTGGTAGGCATGCGCATGTGTGATCACACATCAAAGGCAAGACTCCCAATATTAAAGCACGGGTGTCTTTGCTGAAACAGGACTTGAGCGTGTCAAACCGTTGAATGTTTTCAGCACTTTTGAGCTCGTGCGATATAGTTAGCCCGGAGAGCCAAAATGAATTTTTCCTTTAATACCTTCAAACGGCCAAAAGGAGGGTGCTCGCGCTCTAAAATAATCTACAGAAGCATCATATTTATTCTACCTTAGTCCACTCTGTGTCATACGTGAATACAGTTTCAGCCCAATGTAAGATTCCTTCTGAATACAGGGGGAAAAATAAAAGCCTTGGTTCAAGATACACTGTCAGGCTAATACAGAGACACACATTTGCAGATATATACACACTGTGGAATGAATTTTCGCTGTGGGGTTCAAAGCTGTGCCAGTCAAAGAGGGAAGACAGCTCCGTGCCGCCGTCTTATAGACCCATCACTGTGCGAGCTAATCTGCGGCATGTTCTGGCCCTATATTTAGACCAATGTTTTGTGAACACTTAGCATAATTCAGTGAGACGAAAGGAGCTTTTCAAAGCTGTTAACCTCATCTCTTTAAAACTCATTTGGAGTTTTTCAGCTGCGCATTCCAACACACCTGTTCTCCTCTTTGTAGACCTGTAAATACTCTCTGGTTTAGTGAGGAAATAGTTCAGCATAATTGGCGGTGATGGTGCAGTGTGACAATGAGAGCACGCCACAAATGTGAGGAGGTGATTTATTCATTCAGCTGCTCGTGAGAGAATGGGTGTTGAGTGAAATCGGCTCCAGAAACAGTGCAAAAATGTGCCGTCGTTCCCTTCATAGAGCATCGCTCGATGTCTGCAGTCATCGTCTTTACTGTACTCGTCACATAATTTGACATCTCAATAATCACGTCCTTATAAATTTAGAGGAAGTAATATTTCAGAGATAACACAGCACCTTGATTTCATTTGGTCCCATTTATTATACAGAAAGTAGCTGATTTCAGACTGCGTGAAAGTGTGTGCGTGTGTGTGCGTACCAAATGCTCTAAACGGGTCCAGGTGGGCCAGTGGGAGATGGTCATACTCAAAGCCTTTACCTCCATCTGCTGTGTGGCCTGCACAAGCTCGCACATTTCCACACAAACACACAGATGAGATAGACTGTCTGGTTCAAAAGCCCATCCCTTAAGCATTAAACGCTATATGCTTTGGCCACAGAAGCGTGCCACACTGGGGTCCTGCATGGCATCTGCCTCCCAGCTCCCAGAGCCAAGGCGTGGGGCCGAGGGAGGGGCCTGGGGAAGAGATAAGCTCTTCCTCCCCTGGTCACTGCTACGCCATGGGAACCGGACAGGCCTGGAGCCTCAGCTGAGCACCGCTGATAATATCCACATGAGTGTACATGCACGTGTGTGTGTGTGTGTGGTTACATGAATGGTTGCTGATGAGATGGGGTTGAGGGGTTGCATGTGCGTGTGTTTGTGGGTAGGTTAGGTGCATGCATGGATGCACACACTTACATTTTTTTTTTAAAATAGTCAAATATCACGACTGAGACAAAAATGCCCGTCCATGAAATATTAAAGGTTTTGCAGTTTCATGCCAGTTGTTCACAGAAGTGTGTAAAGATATGCATCCTCCAGAGGAATGCATTTGTTTTAAACAATATGTATAAAAAAAACCAAATCAATTGCCGTTCTGCAAAAATGCATGGAAATAAGAATTTTAATGTCGAGCTGACTCGACATTAAAGCAAACACGTGTTTCTTAAGTGTCTGAAAATGAGTGACAATATGCTTGCAAGCCACTCTTCCTCACTTAAGTGTTGATATTCTCACAAAAACCTGCACAAGAAACAAATGAAATTATCCACTTTACAGATTGCTCTACTTCATTTTGGGATATGAAATTTTAAGACAAACTAAATAAGAATCCGCTGGTAGGCAGAGAAAGACAAAGCTCGTAATAAGTACAGTACATTTCATTAGAGCGAGTGCTGTAATGACAATGACATGAAGCAATGCCGCTCTTACAATAGTGCTCATTGTATTTTTTTTTCCCATTCTGTGCCCACATTTACAATGTAAGATTAATTGCTTTGCTGCTAACTGCAAATCAGTCTGCCCCTGTTCTAATTCGTTGTTTATTTAACATGAGTGTAATCTAGTCTTTTGTAAAATGACAGAAATGGTTCCTCTTTGTTCAGCCGCACTGACCTTATCATTTTAACTTGTCATATCAGAATGCTCATTTACTCATCGCGTTAACAGTCGCCTCACGTAACGAGGCAGTCGGGCAAATTCAATTAATTTGGGGCTGCTTTTAATCGTGTTGATGTTTCAAATAACAGCGCGTGACAAAAAGGTCTGGATCATGATAGAAACACTAATTGTTTAAACAAAATAAAGGGGATGATAGGATAGTGTAAAATGTATCAAAAGTTAAACCTGCTTGAATTTATTAAGGTAATATTATGCATCAAGATGAGGCCCATGGAATAGTCTCGTGCAGTATGTATATTTGTTTAAACCACCTAAATGATATGTTAAATGTACTGTGCCTAACATTTTAAGCTAATATAATAATTACCTCAATGATTTTCAGAAGGAATGATTAGGTAGTGCAAATTAAAACTGCTGCTTTTAATGGACATTTTTGATATTATTTTATAAAACTATTTGAGTACATAGGACCTCTTTACAAAGCCAAAGAGAAAAAACAAGCAGAGAGATGTCTCCTTGATATTTATTAAACATTGCTCTTCTTTTTTTTTAATCATTTCATCATTAGTGAAATATGGCTGATGAACACTGAACTGCCGGCACGTTGATTGCTTTTAGCAATTCTTTGATGTCATTTAATTACAACGTCTCTGGTGTAAGTCCAACCAAAGGCATTTCGTGTCATCCCATAGATTTCTGTTGTTCGCCGTTGCTGCTTTCCTTCCAGCTGCCCCGATGAGTGTGACATATTTATCTAACCACTTATTACTGTTCATGATTGTTGACGTGTCTGATCTGTGA